GAAGCATGATGGGAAATTCAAAATTCATCCATTCTATAAGCATCAGCTAAATGTCACAATGAGCAGTATTGATCAAAAAGGAATTCCATATCCTTGTACAGTGTTGGTGGGAATGAAAATTATGGAAAACAGTATGGAGACTCCTCAGAAACACACCATATGATCCAGTAATCCCACTTCTGGGTAGGTATCTAAAAGAAATGAAACCAGTATCTCAAAGAGATATGTGTATTCCCATGTCCATTGCAGCATTAGTCATATAGCCAAGATTTGGAAATAACCCAAGTGTCTGTTGGTGGAAGAACAGATAAAGAAGATGGGGTAAATATATAAACATGTAGATGTATAATAAATATTTGCTTTACTATATACATAAACATATATATTTTATATATATGTATACAATAAAGAAATATATACAACAAAATATTTTTCAGCCATGAGAAAGAAAGAAATCCTGCCATTTGCAACAACTTTGATGAACCTGGAGGGCACTATGATACATAAAATAAGCCAGACAGAGAAAGAGAAATACTGTATTATCTCACTTACATGTAAAATCTAAAAAAAAAGTTGAACTCATAGGAGCAGAGACTAGAATGGTGACAGAGAGTTGGGGGGTGGGGGAATGAGAGGATGTTGGTCAAAGGGTACAAAGTTGAAGTTATGTAGGATGAATAAGTCTAGGGAACTATTGTACAAGATGGGACTATACGCTGTGAGAGTAAACTTCAGGGTGCTCTCATCACAAAAACAATTATACTATGTGAGGAGATATGTTAGTTAGCTTGACTGTAGTAATCATTTCACTATGTATATGTATATCAAATAAGCATGTGTACACCTTAAATATATAAAATTTTTATTTTAAAATAAATAAATGAACAAATTCCATGATACTAGAGGAGGAAAAAGAAAAGATTAATGTGAGTTCAAAAATGTGAGTTCAAAGATGATAAGGGTAAAAATAGGTGGTTACGTATTTTGGAAAGTATCACTTTAATAGAAATATTACATGTGCTATGCGTTATTAAAATGTATAAGTTATATGCAGAAACATGTAAAATAAAGTAGAGGAAATTGAAGATTCCACATTCTTGAGATCACAACAATGGAGCAGGGCAGGGAGGAGCTGGAGTCTGATTTATTGGGGAAGAAATGTGACTAAAAACAGATTGAGAAAATGGTGCTCCTGGTGCCCCAGTTACAGGAATTTTTCCTTTCGCTATGACATTATAATGAAGAAAACTGCATCCAAATTAATTATGGAACTAAAACTCTTCCAAATTTCTCTCTGTCCCCAAATATGAAGCTTGCAAGGCTGCACATGTTTCATTCCTGTTGTTTCTCCCAGTGGTGTCATCTCAACCATAACAATAACCAAAATAATCAGTGATACTAGCTAACATCCATTTAGAAATTACTATCCATCAAATACTGTTTTACACATTCAATATTAACTCATCTGATCCTCAGAACAATCCAATAGATGGTTTTATTATCCTCATTTTAGACATGAGGACACTGAGGCTCAAAGGAGTTAGGTAATTTTCCAAACATCACGCAGCTAATGAGGGATAGAGCTGAGATTCAAATTCAGGAATTCTGGCCCCAGAACATAAATAAACAAATGGAATCCAGAAGTAAGCTAACTCTGTGTATATCCATGCATATCACCTATCTTGCCAGTGGCCTTCAATTTGTGAAAGGAGACTTCAGAGTGTACAGGATAGGGGAGTCAGCAGGTCTATGTGCCAAAATAGTACTCATGTCTCAGGATTCGTCTTGTCCTGTAACATCTTCTCTTGTCCACTGTGTTAGTTTCAAAGGTAGCACTGGGAAGTCACGTTTTTATAATGGAGCCTCACTACACCTGGCCACAGCTGATAGGAACAAGTATGCATACCTGAACTAAGGACAGTCAATGCATGGATGACCAGCAACCAGACGCTCTGGTTGGAATTTGAACAAAGAGACATGTGAGGTCATGGGCTCAGGCTGTTGGCCTTGTGCAAGCAGAGAAAAGTGGAGTATCAGGAAGTATCCTGTGGTCATGAGCAACAGAAACTGACTAATGTAAATGTCAGAGAGAGAATTTGTTGTAAGGCCACTGGGTAGTTCACAGAAATGAAGAAGAAAACTGGAGAGGCTAGGATCTCAGTACAAGGACCTAGGCACTCTTTCTAAATAAGGACTCAGGTCTCCATAACGTTACTGCCAGAAGAGTTTATCAGCTTTAATCACATTTCATGTGTCACTCCACTCAAAATTGAAATCTCTAGAAAATAGAATATTATGGCATACTTTGAGTACCATGTCAATTCCTTTTCTAAAGCTGAGGAATACTGGCTGTTTTCAGGAGGAAAAAAGAGTTGCCTAAAGGAAAAAGAGGAACTTTATTATTAAGAGGAAGGGACTTTGGGCAAAAAACACAACAGATTCCTCTACACTTCATCTGGAGAAGGGAGAGAGAAAGCAAAGTTGAGAGGATCATGTTCATGTGTCATTTGGAAAATAGAGAGAGATGAAAAGTAATTCACTCCGAGAGAGAAGTTTCATTTCCAACTTCATTTCCTGTGAGGTCTAGTTGTGTTTCATTTCCAACATCAATGCACTATCTTGTAGCCTTGCAATAAATCCCACCTCACTCGAGAAAGCCTGATTCAGTAGGTTTCTGGTCCTTGCAAACAAAGAGCCTTGACTAAAAGCACCAGCCCTACATTAGCATAAGGAATGTAGTGGTAAGAGGCAGAAATCTGTTTCTGACAGACTCACCCCCTGTTGGGGACAATCATTAGAATGCCAAGATCAAAGTAAATACAGAAGGTTAATGGAGCATGGTTAGGCCATCTCTTAAACATAAATTGGCGGGTTCAGCAAAGGCTTCTCAAAGTACATAACAGCCAAATTTATTTTCAAAGCACGATTTGGAGTGAGCCAACTAAAGAAGAAAATGATAGAGTACAAAGAAAAAAACATGTGAATAGACCAGAAATCTGAGAGTATGGCACATGAGAAGAACAAGAATTTCATCATGGCTGGAACAAAGGAACAGTTAGAAGGAGAGGAGGTTGCCAAGAGTTGAGACCTACTAAGGAGTTTGAATAATATGATTGAGAAAATATGGGAGCCATTGAATGAGTTTAATTTGACTGTAGTATCAGACACAAATATCTTGTAACTCCTTCCTTTTAAAGATGTAGACTGACTGCTGGATGGGATCACCTCCCTCAAGGACAGACCACTCACTTGTCCTAGGAGTCCTGCACAGTCAGTTTCCAGTGCTTGATTCCTGACTTAGATGAAAATAATACATTGCAGTGCATGGAATCTGGCAACTGCAGTGACCACAAAAAAAAACCCATTAGTGAAGGGGAGTTGGCTTTTCATGGAATGAACTTTGAGCAATGGGAGACAAGAAAGCCGGGCAGTTAAATTTTCCGCTTTTTTCTTTCTGCCAGTGAACCAACTACAGAACAGTTGTGTGTCTCCTTATAGCTGATCACTTTGTAATGCATCATTTTGTGTTTCACATCTTCTCCTGCTCACTTTCCCTTTTTCTCCATCTTCCCACTCCAGGTTTGCACCTCTCACATAGACGATCACCGAAATGCTTACTTCAGTCTCTGTTTTCTAGAGGACGGATGCTGAAAAGTAAGGTGATCTAATTTGTATTTTAGAAAGATCGCACTGTAAGCACGGATTTGGAAGTGGGGAGGACAGTTAGGAACTGACTGCTGTAATACAGGTGAAAATTGATGAGTTCTTTGAACTACCTGGTGGTAGAAATGATAGAGAAAAGAAAGGTTCAATTTAAAAAGTTAAATTCATAATACCTGTAACAAATGAGATATAAGGGATACGAGAGATGAATAAATTAAGGACGACTAGGGTGGGATAGCTGGAGATGCTGTTCTTTGAGACAGGATGAATTGAAATGGTGTGATAGAATATTCTAAGGACTACAGTAGATTTATATACGGATATTGTGGCAGAGTAGAGGAGAGATGTTAACTTCATCTTCTGAAACAGGTAGGTAGTAATCAAAGAAAATCTTTAAAGGAGCAACCCTTTAAGTCTTGTAATTATGAGTTTTCTGGTCTGATAATTGGGAGAAAGGCATTTCGGACATTGCAGTATACATTTATATAGTTTTTTAAAATACTATTTTTAAATTAATAGTACATGCAAATAATTCAAGATTCAGAAGTTATAAAAGGACATACAGTGAAAATTTGTCTTCTTACCCTTGCCCTCAAATCATCCAGATTCCTTCCTTAGAGACAACTATTGTCTGTTTGAATGTATCCTATCAGAGCTATTGGTACATAAATAAATATATATACATATTTTCATTTCATATTTTTTACACAAACAGTACCTTAATCCATACACTGAGAAGGTCATGGTGATTTTTTTTTTTTTTTTTTTACTTATCAACATATCAGTACTTAAAGAGCTTCCTCATTTTTATGGCTATATAGTGTCCCATTGTGCCAAGAGACCACAATTTATTTACCCAGTCCCCCATTTATGGTTATTTATGTAATTTTCAATTTTTTGCTATTCCCTTTGAATTTATACTTTATAATCCTGCTTACAAAGAATATGCATGCACAAAACAGAATGCAGGCAATATAGGGTGGTAGGAAGAGAAAAATTAATTCTCCCAAAGTCGCAGCATCCAGAGTCAACACACAACAGTTTTTCAGTAAATAACCTTTCAGACATCTTTCTGCACAGACACAGTAGGATATATATACGGGTAAATTTTTCTACCTCCCAGCCTAACAGTGGGGAAAGCACACAAATTAAAGCAAAACAGTTTAGGCCTGGGTCTGAAATAAGGGATGTTTTGCAGTGTAACCCAAGGCAGGATGACAGTAAGCTTCTCTTAGCATCATAATTCAATTTGCAAGGAACAGAATCAAAGCCATGTGAACTAGGATAGATGACTTCTCTATGTAATCCACATTAGGGAGATTAGGGGGAAAATTTACCTTGCAATTTTGCTTGAACTGATGTTCTGGGTTAAACTCACATTTTCCTGGTTCCCATATCCTCCTTATTTCTTGGTTTACTCGTAGATTTTGCTAGAACGCATCCAAAGGTAGCTACCTATAACAGAGTACGTGGGAAGTAAATTTTCTGATTGTTGCAGGTCAGAAAACATTTATTTTCTTTCCTCATACTTATAAATGGTTTGATAGAGTGTTGGATTTTAGATTTTAAGGCGAAAAATAATTTTTTAGAACTTTGAAGGTTTTGTTTCATTAACTTTTAGCTTCCCAACTTATCTTGGAAAATCTGTGTGAGTCACATTGCTTTATAGATAACATATTTTAATTTTATTTTGGGTCTGTGTGTCTGACTGTTTGCAGTGAGTGGCTACTTTATCGGACAGCACACATCCAGACCCTCATTATCTTCCAGTCTGGGAAAATATCTTCTATCATTTCTTTGATAATTTCTTTCCCTCTGTTTTTCTCTTCTCTCTTTTGAGAATTCCTGTTTTTCAGGTATTGAACTTTGAAGAATAATCCTTCATGTCTCTTTTATTTCTTCTCCTGTTTGCTGTCTCGCTGTCTTTTTGTTCTACTAAGAGATTTCTTCTACTTTATATTATCACTTTTCTGCTGAGTTTTGTATTTCAGGAATTGTTCTTTGATTTTTCCTTCTTTATCACAACTTCTTGGGCTTTTTAAATTACGATTCAATACTTTTACAGATGTCTTTTATTAGAACTTTATTGTGTCTGGCTACTCTAAAATCATAGCTTTTTTTCTCCCTTGGTCTCCTTCTTTCATACTGAAGAATTTCCTCAAATGTTTGATAATCCTTGATTGACTATTCATAATTCCAAGACACTAAGGAGCTGGTTGGGAGCTTTGTGCTCCTGAATTATCGACTTTTGTACTTGGTTTGGGGATCATCAGAATGCCAGCCATTTCCCAGGGGAGCACAAAAATATGTAATGTGAAGTTCCTTTTTCTGAGGCCATTCACTTTCTCCACAGAAGAAACCTCCAGTCTCCTGCCTGTAACGTTCGGAGGCTGGCAGGAGTAGACATATGACTGTATTATAATCTATTTTGGCTGAGGGAGGGGCTGTGAGTTGGCTATGCCAGAGATAAATTTTCAACAAGTCCTCCTATCTTTATCCACATTTCTCACCTTGCACTCTTGTTCCTTCTAGATCTCAGCTTCTGTAAGTTCCTAAGAAGCAAATTGACTCCCTTGCCCATATTCTCCTTTATGAATATCAAAGCTGTGTCTTTCTTTGTCCTTCTACATGAATTATCATGCTTCCATCTGCTGTTCATCTTCCAGAATTTCTGAAACCTCTTGATGCCTGAAGCATGGTCTCCTATTCTTCCACTTTTATCTACTGTTAGCTATTTTTATCTGGTATTGTCTACATATGTGGATTTATATGTGTTTATTTCTTTCACAGAATTTCAGAGGGGTCTTTAGAGGAGAAGAGATAAACATGTGTTCTAGCTCCCATCTTCAAACAGAAGCCTCTGGTTTTCCTTTCCAAACTTACAATTTAGTACTAATTATCGCTAATTTTCTAGATCACTCTTGATCAAAATTCACCTAGATGGCTAACCCAGATTCCTAGGCACCACCCTTAGAAACTATGGTTTGGAACAACTGCATTAGGTGCTAAAAATATTCACTTTTTAACTAACAGTCCCACATTTATTCTAATAAAGTGATCTTTGAATACATTGAAGAAAACTGTCCTAGATAAACTGAAGTTTAACAAAAGATTGCTTAGAATAGTTGAGTGAACAGAGGTGAGGGTTTCTAAATGGTTGAGAGGTTTTCAATTGTTTCCAAATTTGACATTACTACCTGCTTTTATTATATACAGATAATTGTGGTTTCTAATATTTCTACTTTTATTAAAGTTCCCTTTGTGGTCTAACATATGGTCATTTTTTAAAAAGTGTTTCATGGGCCTGTAAAAGAAGTTGTGTTCTCTACAGGATAGAGAATTTTAATGTGCTTATTAGATTAATGGTATTAATTTAGTAAATTATTTTAAATACTTCTGTTATTACTTATAATTTATGTCCTGGAATTATCAAGATATCAAAAGGTATGTTAATGTGTACCACTATTATTGTCAGTGGTCTACTGACGAAGATTTGGTGATCTCACCACTGTGGTCTAGGTTTATTGCCTGGGTTCATTTCCTGGTCAGGGAACCATCTGTTGGTTGTCAAACCATGGCAGCTGCATGTTGTTGTGATGTTGAAAGCTATGCCACCAGGATTGCAAAATACCAGCAGTCACCCACAGTGGTATGGGGGATCAGAATTTGCCACCCTAAAACGTGCCTTTGGCTTTATTATTATTAAGAACAAAAGACTCAGAGAGAAACTTTGACCTTCCTCCTAAGTGCCTAAAAGAATTTAAGATAGAAAGTCTGTTTCAGGAAGGAGCTAATACCATAGATAAATATAATATAATATAAACTAGGTGTGGTGGTAGATAGGGAGGAACCTAGGAAGGCCCATCTAATCAAAGTCCTCCCCCAAAGTCCTCCTCATGTTTTTGCAGGGTGTGGCAAACATTTGTTTACCAAACATTTGCTTTTCCATCACCATGTGAATTGCCTGCCTCCCCTTTGAAGTCCCAAACCACTATCTGCAACATCCTCCTTTGTCTTTAGCTGAAGGTGGTATGTAATGTGGTGGATTCAGCCATTTTGGTGAGTTACTCAGTTTTCCTGGGTTTCTCTCCTTCTACATGTTATTAAACTTTGATTTTCTCCTGTTATTCTGCCTCATATCAATTTCATTCTTAGACCAGCCAGAAGGACCTAAAGAGTAGAGGAATAGTTCTTCCTCCCCTGCAGTGGACTGAAACCATGGCAGCTTCAGCAGAGCTTACAGTTTAAATTTTAAGACTAGGAAGAAGGAACTGGCCACCCACTGCCAAAAAAATTGGCCATGAAAACACTGTGAATAGCAGGTGAGCAATGTCCCATATAGTGCTAGAAGGTGAGAGGATGGCGCAAAAAGACCGGGCAGGGTTCTGCTCTGCTGTACACAGGGTCTCTCGGAGTCAGAATCCACTCCACAGCACTAACAACAAATTGTTGTATATTCAATTCTTAAAATACCAGAATGTAGTTTGGAATATTTCCCTGCTGGGTAACTTGAAACATGTAAGTTCATTACCTTTATAATTATTGTGATCATGTTTTTTATCATTACTTTTAAAGTGATTGGTTTTTTCCCTATGTTAACTTAAATTCAAATTATAATGATATTAATAACTGGATTACAGATTATTGTCTGGTTTGTTTGTATTTCTTGTTTTTCAACTTATAAATTTTGAGTTATTTTGTTTTGGGTGGTAATCACTTATGTTTTTCACCCAATTTTATATTCTTTTTCATTTAAAACTACATTTATTCCAAGATAGTTATCATATATCTTATATGATATATAACATATATATGTTACCCTATCTATATTTTGATTATGTGTTTGGTCTCATATTTGTCATCTTGTTTCTATTGTACATGGTGTATTTTCCCTATCTTTGGCAATAGGTCTTTATTCTTCAATTTCCCCTTTAATAATTCAGAACATATAGTCTTTTGTTGTTCTGTTTTTTAAAAAAAAGTGCTTATTTTAACTTTCAAACATTGTATTTAATTCTTTATTTCTCAATTTAACTAGGAAATTGAAATAGTGCCTATTATTTTTAATATGAAAGATATAAATATTCACTCACATTTTCCATGAACAATTATATTTTTCTTTGCTTGGTTATGTATTTTGATGATGAATATAAGTCTTGACGCTTAGGTTTATGTTGTGGTCTGTATCTAAACTAATTTTTGGTATCAATCTAGTTCCTAGGAATCCTTAAGTTCAACTAGCACTGTGTATACCACTATTATCAGGGGAATCATAAAAATGATATATACATCCCTTAAAAATTTATTTTAACTTAGTAAATATTAATACTCATTTGTTCATCCATCAACCTTTTGAAGGACGGCCAAGATCTTTCTCTGAGTATGAATCTCCTGATAGGAGTTCCTATTTTTACAGCAAAAATCATGCCCATAAAGTATTGTCTACTATCTTTAGTTTGAATTTCCTTAGAATTGAGTGTTTTGATGAGAACTGCAAAGCAATGTATACATAGTTGAAAATGTTTATTTTTTTCTACCTTATTCACAAGGAGGTTAGAAATCTTTTATTACAATTTATTTTATCAAATCTTCTTAAAGTATTCAACAGTTTTCATAGAGACAAATATTTGCCATGTATCTTGTTGGTTGATATAACACTTAACACTATATAATTACAGTGATAAGTACAAATTTGGGGGAACAAAAGAACTGACTTTTAGCAACATACGACTCAACTGGTAGAAGCAGAAATACATGGCTATTAGCCTGAAGGCCATTAGCTCCCAGCCCAGGCCTTTTTACAGAAGGAATAAAGAGCTGATTAAAGCAGAGGCCAATAAATAGATTGACTTTTGTATCGCTAGCATATATCTAACATCCAAGGGTAATAAATAAATACAAAAATTAGAAAAAGCGTAACTCCAAAGAGAAAGTATAAAAAAGGAAAATTGAAGAAACAGAAAAGGACAAAAGAAGATACTAAGTTGAAGGCTTCATTCAAATTTACTTCAGCCATTGAATGCATGGATGACTTTTGTTATTGTTATTGTTTGTTCTTTCTCCCAACAACTTGAGTTGGTATATATGAGAGTGACAAGGCAGCACATCATAGAAATATCATTAAAAGATGTTACTTGTAAAGATAATTTAGTAAAAAAGGTCCAGATTTAATGAAATGATATTCACATGTCCAAAGAATTGCGCTAAAATTTTTGCTAAAGCATCCTCTCCCACATTCTCTGCAGTTTTAATGTGGAGGCAAAATATAAAACCCATCACCATGAGATATTATTTAATGATTTTGAGAATATTTTGAGTGAAATTTCAATAACAGGTAAAATGTCAGGTTGAATGAAATATATTCTATTTTTGATAATGAACTCTTTGAAATCAAAACACCTTTATTTGGTAAAGATTTGGTAAATACTCCACCAAACTTAGCAAAAGAGAATTTG